CTTCTATTGGAAGGCAAACCAGCATGTATCCCCTCCGGAGAACAGAAACACATTTGAATGCGTCCGCCCAGCCGGAGGAACATGGCGAAATTGGCTTTAATTGGTAAAATGTTGGGACTGTTATGAGCCGAACGGAGAACGGAGAATGGAGAACGGAGGATTTGATGCCACAGAACATGAGTGCGGTACCGCCTACAACCGAGTGCTACTTCCCCAAGCTCCCCAAGTTGGTGCTAATTAATAAATTTCTTGGGGATTTGCCGTTTCGTCTTTTTCGGGTTTACGGCTTGCCTGCCATAATTATAGCATGGCAATCGCCCCAGGGACACAGCGTGCAAATGTCTATGCTAATATTCGAACGAACATGGATCCGGCGGCACACCCTACCGACATCAGTCGACATCCTACAGGATCGCAACATGGCCAAATCCCCGTTAAGTGAAGCCTTCAATTACAGGGCTGCTGTCGGCGCCAATCCCCTGGTAATAGGATATTTTCAATTTCCATTTGCCCGACCGTATATTTTGCAGTTTCGTATTTGTTTTAAGTTATGCGCCTCCGGCCCTCCAGGGGAATCTTTCAATTTTTTCCGTTTGCTCCTCCGCCTCTACCTCCACCTCCGCCCTCCGCTCCCTTTGAACATATTTCATTGATACGCGGGGATTCTGGTTGTGCGGTGAGGTGACTGGAGAGTGTCAAACAAGACGGGAAATATGTGTGAGCCGAACGGAGCCTGGCTGGGACATTGTCGACTCAACCCGAGCCGGCTAGAGGCGTCCTGGTCACGTAATTGAGCCGTACACCACGGGGCCATTGAGCCAAAGAGCCAGCCGAGCAATAGAAAATGAATTGTATGCACGGAAATATGACAAACAATCAAACCGAATTCGGAAAAACCGCAACACAAACCAGCAAATGCGCCAGCTGAGCCAGAGATTTGTTTCCATCCACCCCCTCTTGGTAACCATGGGCGGCTCTGGCCTAGGATCTGCCCTGGGACTAGCAGCAAGAAGGGGCGGCTCTAATGGAAAGAGGCTGGAAAAATCGCCTGGCACCACCAACAACAACGACGACTACTACGCGACGGCATCTGATGGAAATTTATTGCTGGCAACACACCCAAAGGGATTCGCAAATATAATACTACTGCCGCAGCTGATGGTGGAAGTAGTAGCAGGGCAGCACTGTTATAAATTAAGCAAACTTGTCACAAAATAAATACTTATTTACAATAATATCCTAAAATTGTACATCAACAAAAATATTTAAAACAAGTTTTCAGACTTGGTAATAATAGCTCTTGATAGGGAGAAAGATAGGGCCATAAATGTATCATAAAACTGAAATAATAAAAATATTTTTATTTCAAATCAATTGAAAATATAATTCCCCTACTTGAGTATCTCAGATTTCGTATTTTTTTTATGACTGTAGGATCAGTAAATGGAGGCAAGGACTACATACAAACACGTACTCTGTGCCAGGACGTTTGCCAGCCCCGAAGCCCCAGCTCGATCTATGCCGGTCGGTCTTCCTGCTGTGCCCCGCTCAAACATGTTTCCGAGTATGCGAGTTTGGCGGGCGGGAAAACTAACCCTATGAAGAATTTCCCAAAAGCATCAGAAAAACATACAAAATGTGGTTTTAGCCGCTGAGAGGAAATCTGTAAAGCGGGGATTTCGGGAAAGGAGGGCAGGGCGAAAAAAAATCTGTTGAAAAAATATATGACAGCTAGAACATGTTGCCCATTGCCCTGCCCCCGGCTCCATGACTACCAAACACCCACCACCCATCGCCCACTACCCGCTCGCCGACAAACAAAGCTGCAGTGTTGAGCCAGAACTGAGCTGCAAGCACGCACTGTGCATATTTTGTTATGAAAATTTAAGTGAAATCACTAAAAATGCCAAACAAAACAGCAAGATATGCAAAATGCAGCGTTAGCTGTGGCGATAGAAAGGGGGGACGGGGGCGTGGTAGCTTTTCAGGGGGAGGGAGGGGGCTGGTGGGGCTAAAATGCTGGCGCTGGCAAACCCTCGAGGCGGAAAACAGCTGTTGTTTGCGTTAGCAGCTCCGGCTGCTCCTGATCCTGCTCCTGCTGCTGTCTGCTGATGATGCTGCTGCAGTCTTATGAAAAATTGTTGTCAGTTTATAAAATGGAAGCTGAATGTGAGCTACTGCGCATCCTTCAAGTGCATCACGTGCACCAGATTTTCAAAAGCGGAAAAGCAGAAAAGCGGAAAACGGGGGCTGGACAGCAGCCCATGAAAATGGGTCAGAGCAGAGAAACTTTGGCCAGCGGGTTGTGCACAGTTTATGGCTCGTGTTACTCAATAAACATTTGTCAGGGCGATGCAACCTTCGCACCCATTCCTGCCTCCAATGTCCCGCCAATTTGCTGCTATCAGAGCCAGCGGGGAGAAGAGGAGGGTCCTTTGCGCCAGTTCCTCCTCCCCATCCCCCAAGCCATTTGAGTTCCTTTTTGGTGCGTTCCAATGTCAATTGTTACGTTTTATTGCCTTCTGAGCATCCACACACAGACTCACACTCACACAAAGGACTAACGCCAAAGGTAACTGGCAAAACGAAGAAATTTATGATCAGTGACAAAAGCACATTCTCACCTTTGATATAGCTTTACTGCCTTTGCCCCTTTTTCCACTCTATATTGCAGATGTAGCGGGGATAAGAACAGGTTTGTCTTTGGTTTGCTCTGCTGTTTTATTGCCCCGCCCCTTTGTTGTGTAGGGGGGGTAAAAACGGGCACTCCCATACCCACTCTAAGCCCCGCCCACCTTGGAAAAGTCCGAGGCCCGGGAGCCAACGGTGCCACGCATCGATGGCTCTTTTATGTGCTCCCCAGAATTTTTCGTTTTTCTTATTTTTTATTTTTTGCGGCCCTCTTCCATCGCAGTTTTTGCACAGTGTTTGCCTTCGGATTTTTGCGATAATGGAGACAAATGTTGTGCTCTTAAATTTATCGATTGGTTGTGCAAAAGTTACCAAAGGAAAATATAGCCCTGGCCGGTGAATTTGTTTTTATGGGTGCGCTCGCTCGTTGCGTATACGCCCCGTATACGTGTGCTCGATTTCGTTTAGCTTTAAGTTTAGCTGCCAGCGCACCTGAGTTTTCAATTTATTTCATGTTTTTCATGGCCCAATAGAACAGGCAACTGCGGGACAATGGAGTCCGGGTCGCAGATAAACTTGTGCCGCGATAAGCCAACTATTTGTGCTCCCACAGGACAGCAGACTTTTCGTCCAGTTGGCCTTCTTGCTTTTTGGGGCAGGAAACTTTGCAATTGAAAGTTGGCCGCTTAAATGCAATGGCCACTGCTTAAGTTCCTGCGGCCATAACGAGTTATTAATTGTGGGGCGCGGTCTGGGCGGACAGCGGCGGCTTAGTGGAGCGGCAAACCATGCTCGCGGCTTTTCTGACCGCTTGCCTAACCACCCACGCCGCTTCCTCGCGATCTCTTTAATTTTTTTATGCCCCTCTAGCTCATTCTCTATCTCATGGTAAGCCTTTTACCAACTTTTATTTTTTTTTTTGCCCCGCTCAGCATTAAACACCACAACGTGCTCGAGGACCCACGCGGCTGGATTTATGCTGCGTTACATTGGCATTAAAATAGCAAAAAGGGATTAAGGGGGAAGAGCGCTTGCTCTCTCGTATTTTATTCCATTTTTTGCATTAATATTATTTTTATACCCTTGCAGAGGGTATTATAATTTTGGTCAAAAGTGTGCAACGCAGTGAAGGAGACATCTCCGACCCTATAAAGTATATATATTCTTGATCAGGATCACCTCCTGAGTTGATATGAGCATGTCCGTCTGTCCGTCTGTCCGTCTGTCCGTCTGTCCGTCTGTCTGTCTGTTTCTACGCGAACTAGTCTCTCAGTTTTAAAGCTATCGACTTGAAACTTTGCACACACCCTTCTTTCCTTTGCACGCAGTATATAAGTCGGAACGGCCCGGATCGGCCGACTATATCCTATAGCTGCCATATAACTGATTGATCGGAAATGGTATAACTTTGATGTTTTTAGAGTTAGAGTGTCAAATTTGACACAAGAGCTATTTTTGGCAAAAAATTACGACATGCCAAATTTCATAAGGATCGGCCGACTATATCCTATAGCTGCCATATAACTGAAAGATCGGAAATGACCCAACTTTCGTGTTTTTGAAGATAGAAAGCTGGAATTTAATACAGATTCTATTTTTGGTCAGTTGACCCAACCTACCAAATTTCATTAGGATCGGCCGACTATATCCCATAGCTGCCATATAACTGAACGATCGGAAATGGTATTTGGTAGAAATATCAACTTTCGTATTTTTGAAGATAGAAGTTTGGGACTTTTTTTAGATTTTGTATTGTAATAAATTGGATTATATTTTCCTATTTCCATAAGGATCGGCCAACTATATCCGATGTTTGCGATATATATCCGGTTTTAACTGCAAGGGTATATAAACTTCGGCTCCGCCCGAAGTTAGCTTTCCTTTCTTGTTTATTTTGTATTTTTATATGAACACACCCCGCAAGCGCTCTGGCGCCTGCCCTTATGCCTTTGCCCTCTCGCTCTCCGTCTCCATTATGTAAAAACATAAATGCAACTTGCGTTGAGTGCTGCGTGAAATAAAAAGCGATGACGGCGAAGCGATGTAGAAATAAATATGGCAAAAAAATTCATAAACCACTGACTTTCCTTCTCAGGGCCATTGTTCGTTGGGGAGTCTGACTAAGTAAGATGTGACTACAACTGGGAAAAATATTTTTGATAAATTATAGTGTTACACAACTTCTTTTGATAATGTTTTCCATAAAAGAACAGATAAAAGAACATTTTTATTGGTTTGGTTTCAACTTATATTAAAACGTGGTTTATACCATTTCAGTTTTTAGGAAAGGAAGAGAATCTAATTTTTTTTTTTGGTGCTGTGTTTATGAAAATGGTGCTGTGGCAAGAGCAGTGCCAGGAATCACTTACCTCGATTTGAAATGGCGGCCTCGGCCACGCCTCCACCGCTTCCGGTGTGCGCGTGCAACAGCCATCCCAGGCTAATTACAATCAGAATGGGGCAATTCATTTTGAACGCTGCTCGGCTGCGTCGCTGGGTGCTAGTACTCTTGCTCTTAGTGCCAAAGGCAGGAACTCCGACGTCGCCTGAACGTATGCTATGCGAAATTATTTTCATTGTTCCACCGCGCAACGTAGCGGTGCGGTGGTTTCGAGTCGGCGTTTTCCGCTTTTTGTTGTTATTCAATTTACTGGAGTTGCTGTGGAGCTATTATGGCTGGGCTGGGTTTTGTTCGCTTTAAGTTTTCATTTGGTTGGCCGCCAACATACTTTGCATAGTCGCTTTGTCGCTCTCTGTGCGAATATCCAGCTTTTGCAGCTATTTTCCACGTTTTTTATTTTCTATTTTTTTGTTTTTTATTTTTGTGGGTTCTCTCTAATTACAAATTGAGCGAGAGACCGCAGGCTCTTCTATGGAGCCGGCTTTTGTGCACTTTCCCTTGACAAATTGCGGCAGTTTGAAATATTTTCTAATTAATTTTTATTGCTCCTGCCAGCCGACTAATTAATATTGTATGTTTTCCCTCCGCCTCGGATGAGTTTTCCAGCTTCCAGGGCTATCTATAATGGAATTATAGGAAACACATATAAAATTGTTAGTTTTCCAATGCATTTTTAGGGAAAAAGTTTTTCGCTAAAAGAGAAAAAATGGCACTTTGGGTTTATGCGATCTTTGGACTAAACTCCGCTTGCAGAGCTTAGCCAAGTTTCAAGTGTAGCTCTCCGAAATGTTTTCAGTTCTCAAAGCAAACATTAAAGCATGTGCATGTGCAAGGATGTGTGTGCGTGTGTGGTTGTGCCACTCGTATGCGCTCCATAAACCCACACGCACACACTAACACCGAATTGCGTCTGCCCAGAACTTCACTGACACGCAAAATTACCCCACAAAGTGCAATTAGCACACAAGTTAAATTATAAAAGTTCCGTTTTTTAACCTTTTCCCTCAGTGCCGATCCCGGGCACATACACACATTTGGAGGGAATTTCGACAATGGAGAGAATAGCATCGAAAAGGGCTAGAGAAGGAGAATCGGGCAAACAACACTTCAAGAGCAAAGTCCAAAGCCAAATAACAAATTGTTCCTAGGACCTAGGGCCACCAGACCCCGTACATGCATATATCCTTCTTTCCCGACGCTTTTCCCCCTTGTGCCATATTTAATGACAAAGTTTTGCATAATTTTATGAGTTTGCAGCGTTATCCCGGCCACATGTGGGTGTGTGTGGGCGGGCGGGGTGAACCGAAGAAAAATCAGCAACGAAAAAAGTTCAAATTATTTCATTATCGCTTCCGAGCAGAAAAACTACGTCGGCTTAAGGCTCGTAGAAAAAAGTCTGCTGCTCAAAAACCATAAAATCCGGAAGTGGTCAGGGGAATGGGACACGACTACTCATGAAAAAATTAAGTTATAAATTTAGATTAACCCATGCAGCCGACGGCGAGTCGAGTCACTTTCACTTGGGGTCTCCACACGCAGCTGGGAGCTGGGAACTGAACACTGGAAGCTGCGAGCTGGGAAAGTCCATTAAAAGTCATAGCGCAGCAGGCAGGCCATAATTATCTATCGTTTTCATTATTACCCTGGGCAGACAGAACCACGACATCAAGTATACGCTACGTGGTGCGCTTATGTGCGGCTCATGTCCTGGAGGAGCAATAAAATAATTGTGTATCTATCCCAAGCCCCAGTCAGGCCAGTGAAGGCGAACTAGGTCGCGTAGGTGGTGCTCGCTACAAATCTGCGCCGGCCATATAATTACTCAAAAAGTTACCTCGCAGTAGGGTGGGAGCCCTGTAGGAGATCGCCGGCACTGGATAGGATAGGATAGCATACGATAGGATGGTTAGGCTTTTATGCGCGAGGCCAGCAAAAGGCTTTTATCATGTAGGCGGTAAATAGCCGTAAATAAACAGGGCGGCGCATAAAACGGCAACAAAAGACGCTCCAGGACTGGCCCAGGTTGCCGCTGTTGTCATCGCCACCGCTGGCGGAGCATTATCCCGAGAAGATGTGCACTGAAGAAAATAGCTTGAAAAGGCCATCTTACAGCCGTTAAGTGATTAAGCATCCGAAGGCCTAGGGATATATTTCAAATCCCTATACCCTCGAGGTATTTCGCTTTATGGAAATATGCTAAAAGAGAGTGCCTTTAATAGGCCAATTTAATTTCTCCCGGTGCAGTCCTGTTTGCTAGCTACTGTTGTCGAGGGCCAAGGTTATCGGTTTTATGGGGCTTTGGCCTACAGATTTTTTATATGTGTGCCACATGCTGTGCGCCGCTGCCTTATTTATGACACCGCCAACACAGCATCGCATGGCTGCTACAAATTTCTGAAGTCCTGCAATTTGATCTCGGTGGGTCCTGACGGTCCTTCGGCCCTTCGGTCAAGGAGAGAGGTCTGGCTAAACGTTTTAACATTTTATCGGGCTCTTGGAGCGCCGATGCGGTGGCAGTTGTGGTCGCTGTGGTAGCCGCCATAAAAGTTTAATATTCTAATAAAGCGGATTTAATTATTTAAAAACAACATTTCCACGTCCAAACACTGAAGCTTTTTAATTTTTACGCGCTTCGCTTCGCTGTCGCGTTTTCATGCGACTCGGGTTTCGCCTCCCGCGGATTCTGATGCTTCGACTTTCGTCTAAATTGCACTTTGCGGTACAATTTCAAGCTGCAAGTTTTGCCCCAGCAAGTCGTAATTAGTTTTTGCTGGTTTGCTGTGAAACTGATTTTCACTTGCCAGTTGCTGGTTGCTGGAAAGGGGCGTGGTGGAATAGCGAAACTAAATCCGAGGGAAAAGAAAAAGCCAAGTCTTTTGTCAGCCGCCCCAGCACCTCCCCTTGCGGTTGACTGGCGGAACTTTAAAATGGGTTAATTGCATTGTAAACTAAACGAACAAATGCCAAACAAGTGGCTCAAGAGGGCACAAGACAACTGAGCAGCAACATCCAGCTCTAGATCTCCAACGACTGCTGCTGCAGATTCGATTTGAGCTTTGGCTTATTTATAAATCTGCAATTTCAACCGCCCCAGTGTGGCTTGTTCTTTTGCCAGTTTCGCATAGCAACTGTCGGAGAGTGCATCATTAAAAGTGGCTCATCCAGGGAAGCATAGTAACCTTTGCGAAAAAAAGGATTATGTAGCTAGTTTCAAAACCAAAGTATTTACGAAAATGTTAAAAATTGAGTTAAGCTTTAAATTTTATTTTTTTCCATACCATTTTCATTCAAAAGAGTTCTATACAAAATCTGAAAAAAGCAGTGGCTCTATTGGCCTCATAAATGGGCGCCCCATCTAATGTCCTTTGGCAGTGAATTATTCGGAATTCTGGGAGAGTGACGACGACAACGACCAGGGCCACCGCATTGTCATCGAAATGATTAACAAGAAGGCACACAAAGTTTCCAGCTTGGAGCACAAAGGCACACACTTGCCTGTGCCCGCGAACAAAATAAAGAAAAAATGTTCTGAAAACTCTTCACACACACACACACTCACCAACCTAAAGCTGCGTGGAAAATTCAAGCCGAACACTTGCCACAGCCACAAACTCGCCAAGCTCAGGCGGATTGACACGGCAACAATGTGGCAAGATGGACCCCTTGCCCGACACACGCACAGGCGACCCAATCCTAATATGCAGTTGACGTTGCGGTCTGAACAAGTTTTAATGAAAAAAGAAAAAAAAATGTGAATAGAAGACGAACGACGGGATAGAAGACGTAGATCCAGCCCGCTCGATAAAAGATTATTAAAATTTTCCAAACGAATGGCAAAAGTTTGCTGCAGCAGTTTGTCAAAGGTTCAAAAGGTTATCTGCTGCACACGCACACCCATGCTGACAGACACACACACACACACCCACGGGCTCATCCTGGGGAAAATCAGAGGAAACTCACTCACTTGGAGGCACACTCTTTTCACGTGTGCGCGGTCTCCGAAGTTGACAGACATTTTCCACAAGCCGAAGTCAAGTACCCATCTAGCACTCGACAGGAATGCAGATGGAAGGGACTCGTCCCGGGTCCCGGCCCTGCCCTGCCCACCCGGTTTGGGCCTGAAATTCTGCGTTATCTCGGCCCCTACAAGCAGTGAAAATTAAATTCTGGCCTTACTGGGAGAACTGGACAGCGGGACACCGGGAGAAACAGAATGGCCGTACATGAAATATGAACGTAATCTCCGCATATATTAAGGCATTTGACGGCTGCTTTAATATGCAACCGGGCGGGCCCAGACCCTGGCACGAGCCGGTCCTTGATACTTTGCATTTTTGCTGAGGCAAACATAATTCGTCTATTATGCAGGCTGCCACAGAGCATAGAACACATAGAACACATGGACACACAGCACACACCACACACCATACACGTTGGAGGCGCATAGGAGTGCTGTACATGGGAGTGCTTGCAAGAGTTCATAGATCCTGGCTGGGAGTATTCACTTGGCAATTACTGCTTTATTTATTATGCCGAAATGGATTATCCCCTTTGGAGCGCTGGGATGCAATTTCTGCTTGTTCTGCTATTTTCTGCCGTCAACATTTTTTCTCTTCCCGCCTGTGTTGTGGAAATTTCCGAAGCCCTCTCAGCCTTGCTATTTGTTGTCAACGGCGTCACCGCTTCTGGAGTGGATTTGCATGGAAGGGCACGGCGGCGATGATCCGGCCTACGGCTGCTGCTACATCTACAACATCTCCATACTATGGCTATGGAATTTTACTGGCTCTCTGCTTTGTCATCTAGTCATTCATGTCTCTAATCCATAAGAGCTGGCTCAATTTACGCTGCTTTAAATACTTGTATTCTTGTGGCTTTAAATAAATATTTTTTATCCCATAAGAACAGGGCTTCAGAGAATTCAAATCATTGTGGTGCAGCTTAAATGCTAATTCCTAGTATTGTTCCATTTCAACGGCATGGCCGGACATTTCCTGGCCTCTGGTGCACGGCGACATTTGTAACAAATTCGATGCACACGAAATCCATAAATCAAATCAATAAAATGACAGCATGAAAAATTGGCAACACAAAAAACCGCAGGCCAAAGCCATTATTTCGAAGTCAAAAAATCGACAGGACGAGGCAGCAAGAGCAGCAGCAATGGCAGCAGCGGAAAGTCGCCATTTTTGGAAAATACGAACCAACAGAACGAGTTTTGTGAAAGAATAAAACCCGGCGACCGCAGTTTGAATGGCAATCAGCAGTTAGAACAAAACCAAGGCAATAATAATAATAATAATAGAACAATACAGCGGCGATATGCAATGGAAGTTAACCTTTCGACACCTACAATAAATAAATAAATGGCCAAGTAAATATTGTAAACAGCGCAGGAGCAAATACAGAACATGGAAAACAAAAAACAAAAAAATAAATAAAACAAGCCAAAAAAAGGGGGAGTAGACAAAACAAACAAAACAGAAGAGGCCGTAACCAAACATGGAAACGGCTGAGAACGGGCGTGTAGGGAGGCTGCTCCTGGCAACGGGTCGTATGTGTAACAAATAAAATTGTTGACTATGCCATAAAGCGGCAGCAACAGTAGTAGCGGCAGTG